GTGTGTGTGTGATGTCACTCAGTGCTCCTGTATGTACAGAAACAGAAAAAGAAAACACCAAAGTGCTGACGAAGAGCAGAAAACACAGGGAAAACCGAAAACCTCCAGTTCAAGAGCTTTTGCTGCCCCCTGGAGGAGTAGAGGGATATAACTTTTCCCCCCATTAAGTTAGCTGATCTTGGGGATAAAAACACATGCAAAAAAACAAGCCAGTCTATTGCTTTTACTCTACTTATTATTAATTTCCTTTTTAAACAGAAAAGGAAAAGTTTGTACGTCACTTAACTTGAAATTCTCCAGTACAGATAATGAAGCTGCTTTTAACAATGATATGTTCAATGTACTTATTTCAGCAAATATCTCCAAGTGAAACACATTATTTGGACAAATTTAGCAGAGACTGTTTTTTTTTTATTCGTCTTGATTATGATGGCTTTCTAGCAACAGCTAGTGTAAACACAATATTTACAGATTAGAATATTACATCAGATCAATATAAAAGTCACAGGCATAAAAAGGTCTGTCAATTACTTCCTGTTGATTCATCCTTAATTAAACAAACTAAAACACATCCTTGTGTTTCACCTAATCTGAAAACTTCTTCCATCTTCAAATAAAACCAGAAGTTTACATACACCAACTAGAAAGACAAATACACATTTTTTTTCTCCTCACTGTTTAAAGTCAAATCAGACCAAACGTCTCTTGTTTAAGAATTACTAAAATCATTTCTATTTGCCAAATGCAAGAAAATTTCTCAAGAACAATGTTTGTTAGAGATTTTTTTCCCCAACTTTTTTGAATTCAGAGGTTTAGTCAGAATCAGAGGAAACTGTATGACTTGGGTCAAAAGTTTTGGTTTTCCCGCCTTGTCATATCTACCCACAACTTTTCCTCGTGATGGAGATCATGACTACGTGACGGCCGCACCAAAACATTCACTTTGTTGACCTTCATAACCACTGGATGCTCAGGGTTATTATTAATTTTGAAGATCCATCTGGGACTAAGATTTAACTTCCTGATGTCTTTAGGGGTTTGTTACAGGACATGTTTCACTTTGGATAATGACAGTAGGAAGGAAGATTGTATTTAGGTCTGTTTGTACATTAAGTTGAGTCAAGGGAGAAGTCTAGTGTTTGCCCATTAAAGCTCAGTTCCACATTGATCAGGATGTTAAAAATAACTGTTTTAGCACACATGAAGCAACAAGAGAAAACCAAGAAGACAAATAAATGCAGATGTATGGTTTCTACACCTAACCTTAAGCTAGGGAATCTGATAGTACGGAGTAAAGGTGGGATTCAGATCTCCCAGAGGTGAAAGTATTGGGATGCTTTTGTAAATTAAAAACCTGACAATTCTCTTCAAAATTCCTCGGTTTGCAGTACTTGGTTGCCACTGGACCAAACTTTCTCAATTTCTCAAAATACCACCTTAGGCTTGTTGCTCTCAATAAATAGTTGACATTCATAAAGCGATCCATTTCAACATTTTGGTGCACAACACTATCACAGTTGTAATGCAACATAAGCTCTAAAGGTGACCAGACACATTGGATAGGTTGAACATTTTATTTCACAGCCATATCCCAACAAACTTTAGGCAGGAGACGCAGTGAAGTGGGTGAATACCAGACCACAGGCTCCACCTAGCGGAGGAAAACACAATTACAAGAAGGGAGAAACCCTAAAAATGAAGTTAAAATGTTAAGTTGGGTTCTGGAGCAGGGTCACGCCCAAAACCACACCTCCAACTTCCCAAGCAGACTCTTCATACTCTACTCACCCATTCTTCTCTCTCTGTTAGGTTTCGTCAACCCTACTCCTCTTTACCCTCTACCTCCTTTACCCCACCCCTCTTCATCCCATCATCCTCATCCCCCTGTTCACTGCAGGTTTCGTCTGCAAGGTCCCAAGAGAGCTCTGGGAAAAAAAGTGGAACACATTTTCCTGAAGACCCCGACGTTGAGTCTTCATCGCCCAAGCCCTCCAGCATTCTCCCCAGATGACCAAGCCGAGCTCAACCATCCCCTTCATTCAATTCCTTCAATAAATCTCTTCAGCTTGTACCTTGTGGCGTCATCCTTTTTCTTTGTCACTTCATTCATCTATGTAGTTTAAAAGCTTAATTGGTGCTTTTTATGGTTGACTTTCTACTGATGTTTATAGAATATCTTAATAATGTGGCTAGAGTTAATCAGTTCCTTCATGATATTATTTGTTGGAGCAGTAGTTGTGGATTTTGGTAATGTAAAATGGTCGACATCTGCAGATGCACGGCTCAGGAAAGTTTACTCTGAAACACAGGTGCTAAACACCCAGTTTGTGTTCAGCTGAAAAACGTTGTAACACCTCCACGCCCTGATTGGTTCTGATCTTCCTTTCAGAGCCTGGATGGGTCCAGAGTGACACGGCGATGTTGAGATGAGGAGTTGCGTATCGTCCCTTAGTATTTTCCTTTTTGCTAAGACAGGCTGGTTACAGGAAAAACTACACTTACAGAAGTAAAAATGTTGAATCTGAACTTATTACAGTAATAATACTGATAAAAATACTTATAGTTATAAGTGTATTTACAAGTGAAGATCCCAGGTCTTTATTTAAAGAAAACTTTTAAAAAAATGAAACTGTAGAAATTCACTTTTTGTTGTATTCTCCCATAATAATGAAAACAGTAAACATATAATGAAAAGTTTTCTCACATTTTCAGACAAGGACACTAGTCTGCAAGTACTGAAGACTTTAATTGTAACTCTAGGAAGCGCTGTTGCTCCTAAGTTAAGAAACATATACTTGTGAAAATTCTTCATAAATCACATTATTTACCCTTGAAACCATCAGGTTAGTGAGGATCCTAGTTGTGTAGTGACTGCTTGTGTTGCTCCTTGGGATATCAGAGAGAGGACTACTTAAGTCAACCCAATATGATTTTCAAAAAGCCCCCAACAAAAACCAGATCTGGTTAGTTTTGATGAGCCATCCATGACTTGCACTTGGCCACACCTTTAAGAGCCATCTGGAGACACCTGTAGGCCATATGAATTAACTCAGGACTGGCTCATTTGTGATTCAGTATGTCTTTCATCATTTACTAAAATTCATTTTTTAAATCTTAATTTGTTTCCAACAAGGTAGAAAAAAAGCAATAAATAAATGATTAAATGCAGACACATGATATGGCAAAGCTTCATTTCTGTTTCAAAAATTAAATCAGTCTTGTGGTTAATTAAAAGCAAACACTGAAATTTTCCAGAAATGACCTTTTTACAGTTTAGTGAAAATGTCATCCTTACAGGTTTCTTTTCTTTATTCTTTTTTTGTTTGTGACGACCTAACAAGTGTCCAGTAGCCACTGGGTGAGAGTCACAGACGTTTTACATTATAAGCTTATTCAGATTACTCAGATAAGCGACATAAACACAAAAAACTGTTTTCCCATGACAGTTTTTTTTTTTAAAGTGAACATGTTGAGCTTTTAAATGCTTCCTTTTCACATGTAAATCATTCTCTTATGGTATATAGTAGAACTGCAATGTTTTGGTCTGAATTTCACGATATTGAAGCTCCACAGATCCCTCGTTTACCCTTATTTAACATCCCACTCCTCTCCTTTTGGCCATATTTGTAGTGTGACAGCAGCAATATGTTTATCCACCGGCAGAGAAACTTTTTATTCCCAAGTTTAAGATGACTACATAATATGGAGTGTAGTTTAACTCTAGTGTCTTTGCATATCAAATACGTTTTAAGATGTGCTAGCATCTTGTGCTAACGCTAGAACAAGATGAATGAAGTAAACAAAGCCTCGACATAATGAAGGAGTTAGCTAACGTCACTGAATGCGTTGAATTATGTGTAAAAAAAAATAAAGCCAAATAATTATAACCAAAACATGCAGTACTACAGTTATATCTTCATATGTAGCTAAAAGCTAGCACACAGCGCTAACAAAAGCGGACTTTCCCCACTGATGTGGGTACGCTGCTGAGAAAAACAAAGTTTAACCAGACACTGGGGCGATGTAAGGAATCATGTGAGTAAATCCACCAAAGAACCAAACATTTTGACTTATCTACTTGCAACTGAGGCATAACAGGACCTGGACTACAAAATCACAGCGAGGAAAAAAAAAATGGCGGATTGACAAAGCTGATAAGCCGGAAGTGCAGCTTATCAGTTGGACTTCCGGCTGATAAGTTTAGCATTTTTCGGTGGTTCTACCGTAAATGTAGTGGTGACCTCAGACAAGAAAATGAGGGAAATGGACAGAATGACAAATAACGTCAAAATATCCATCAGCATTGGGAGAGAATAATTAAATTTTTTTCACGCCTAGACACTCAAACGTACACAAATATATTTTTCATGTCCCCTTTAAGTCAAATAGTTTTCACTTTATAAAGGAAATTTTAGAAAACTTTTTAATTTACTGGATTTATTTTTGGCTATAATTGCTTGTTGACAAAGAACCAAAAACGTCGGATTTTTAAGGCTGCAAGTAGCTACTCCTTCACGGTACCGTTTAATCTACTGCATTTTGATGTAAATTTACATGTTGGCTTATAAAAATGAAAAGTGAATAGCGATGAAGAAAGCTATCTTTCCTCCAGACACTGACAAATCTCTGATGCATTTGTCTCCGATCCTTCCCTGGAGGGTGATGTGACATTTCTCCGAATCTGGTAATTTCCCTCTGAACGGAAAGAAAGGGAAAAAGAGATCGTATCCCGGTTTGTTTCGCAAACAACGTCATATCTTCCAGATGAATCAGCAGCAACAGGTTGGGGCAGGCCTGGCCAGACAATGTTGAATGAATATCAATTAAAAAAAAAAAAGCACGTAAAAGCGAAACACTGTGACGTGAATCTCCTTGGAGAGTTTAAATAACACGCAGCCACGGTTCGGGTTACGCACTCAAGAAGCTCCTGCCTACAAGTTTGTTGTTAGTTGGGATTTTTTTTTTCTACGCTGAGCTTCAACCCGCAGCCAGGCAGACGTGATGTTGGATACGTTTGGCACGCACACCACCACGGTGACCGTGCCGAGTGCGGAGCTCCAGCTCAAAGTGTCGGACAAGAAGGTCAGCCTGAAGCAGGCAGTGACGGGGATGGACAGCGGGAAGAAACTCCTGGAGATAACGGGACCTGCTCTGTCAAAAAGGAGGTTCCTGGTGGGATTAGACCTCATCTGCCTCTTTCTCGGTAAGTAAACGGTCACTCTAAACATGCATTCAGAAAGGCTTATACAGCTAAATACATGTTTGAACAGAAGCAGCACTTAAAAAACATGTTTGAGAAAGTTTTTAGTACTTTTCTTTAATGTATCGTGTAAATACAGCGACATAATTTGAGTCTCTTAGAAGTTATTTGGTTGTGAGCGCGGATTGATTATTGGACACAATCACGAACAACTTTTTGAGTCGCTTTTTGTGGGGGGAAAAAATCCACAAATTTGAGAGAAAATTTTTAAAAATGTTTCAATACGTGACTGAATCCCCTGTGAACTTGTGGTTTCGCTTTTCCAATTTTAATAGTTGTAATATTAATTTACTATATTCGTTGCATAATATTTTTTTTAAAATCACTTGAGCAAAAAAAAAAAAAAAACACCTCACATGCTGCTTGGCTTTACTTTTTTCTTTTCGTGTTTAAATTATTTTTTCGTGTGTTTGTACTTCCCTCTTTTTTGTAACTTCTTTTTTGTAACTTCACTAATGTTATCTTCTGCTTAGTTTCTAAATCCTTCCTGTTTATATATATATATATATGTATATGTATAAAAACAGAAGAAACCCAGCAGCTGAAACTGGGATAATCAAAATATTAGAACTAAGATAACTTCAGGTTTGGTTTGCAAGTAGGCACTAGTTTAAAATGTCTCAGTTTTAAAAAGTGACAGTTTCAAAATCATAAAAAATATATTACATCACACATCATTCCTTTGCCCTCGGGGCGCTGTAATGCGAGGACCAGAGTGTTTTGTTCGGCTGTGTGACGCACAGAGTAAAACAGGATTGTCTCTCCAACACTTGTTGCTGAAAACTGCTAACTGAAGGAAGCGAAAGCAACAGTTTTAGCTGATTGGAAATATTTCCACTACTAAAAAACCTGGACACAGAGCTGATATGGAAACTCTTGGGTCTATAGAGATGATATAACATTCGATATCGATTTTAGCTATATTTTGTCTAAACCACAATTTTCATATTAAAATCCCCTTTAGTTTGTTTTCTAACAGTTATCATGAATGAGTATAAATACTCTGGTCCAGATTTGACTCATCCATACATTCTGGTATTTATGATCGGTCATCCTGCCGTTAAAATACACTGAAAAGTACTCCTTTCTTCTGTATTAATTAACAGAAAAAAAAGTTTTCGTGAATTTCAAACTTTGCTCAAATCATTAAAAGACTGTGAAATAATTTTTCAGTTTATCGTCTACATAAAACCCAGAAGCAGATACAACCTGCACAACCTAGTTAACTAGAGGTGCTAATGTCACAGTTCTAACAAGATGTTTGTAGTTTGTTTGCAAACCAATCTTTCTCTTTTTTGCTATGTACACTAAATCAATGTCATGGACAACCCATCTTAATGTAATGACTACTTTAACAAAATAGCTCAGAAATACAAAACTTGTTCCTTTTTCCTTCAAAATAAGTCTCAAACAACATATTAGCATCTCACACTTACTTATTTCAACTGAAGAAGTCACATGCTCACACTGGCTAAATATTGCTTTACGAGACGGACTTTACTTTGACTAAAAGGTGTCACAAGATCCTGTTACACACCCGTTTATTACTCACTTTTATTAGGGTAACACTGTACAGGTGGAGAGTAAAGCAGCTGACTGAAGGCTAGCTACCTGAGCAGCTAGCCTCCCTAGTTACTAACCAAGTTCAATATAACCAGCAGATATCAGCTGAACCAGCTAACATCAGCTTGCTAGACCTATGCTATTTTGTAACGCAAAATGACAAAATCAGTAGGGTTCCAATTTGTTATTGATATTGGAAAACGATCCGATATCGGTATCAGATTATATCAGCTGTTCTTTTATCCCTCACACAGACCTTTGTGAGTCAGCTGGTCACATATCAGTTGTTGCTGACTACTGCTCTCTGTTTGAGTAATATAACTCGATCAATAACATTCCACGCTACAAAATAAGTAAGAAAATTGTGTACAATTTGTGCTCATATCACATCGGATCAATATCAGTGTCAACCAACGCACAAAGCCGCAATATTGGTATCGTATTGGAAGTGAAAAAGTTGCATTGGGACACCCGCAATGCATATTATTATGCCCAAACGCATACATAAAAACAAAAGCAGTCACGTTTTAAGTGAATATTGTGATTCCTTGAGAACGTTAATCCAGCTGGGGTCTTTTTAAAGGGCATTTAGTTTAAATTGATTGAGAGAAGGTCATCCCTTCATCTACATGTGAACCCTTCTGTCCCTCTTCATGTGGCGTAGTGAGCGCGCTGTACCAGCTGGTCTGTGCATTGCCTGGGGATTTCTGCATTTTCCATGACAACATCCCAGTTCTCAGGGTTCGGGGAAAGTCTGGGGAGGATTTGGTTTAAAGACTTACGCTTACCATTCATGGGTACTGCATGTTCGCGTGCGTCGCCCATTGCTGACCAACCCACTAGCAATAAACAAGGGCCGATTACATATTATTATCGGTTAAAAGGAAAAGCTGTAGGGAGAAGTGGTTCATTTTAACAACAGTTTGGGTAAGTTGAGAAGAGAGGCAGCGCCGTGAGAAGTCCCTGTATCTCTTTTATCTCTCCACTCCCTGCTTTGTTCGGTGTGCACAGGAATGCAAAACAGACAACGGAGGAAGAGGCAGAGAGGGGTTGGACGACCAGAGACAAGCAGAGACAGTGTGAAGCTGGCTCTGGCTCTGCTGCTCCATTTACTCTTTGTTTTTGCTGGGCAGAGTTGAACTGGAGTCACAAACAACCCCCCCACCCCCCTTCCTTCACCCTCCTCTTCCTCCTCAACAACAGAAACCTTCCCACACACATGCGCAGTGGGAGCTGGGTCTTTGTTGGGGCTCTGCCTTACTGCTTTCTTTCCAGTCTCAGTGGATTCAACTTGTGTTCATTCAGGGAACAGAAGATCTCTGCAGCTCTTCTTTTAATTCCCAGTGGAGCAGCTTGGTGACCTCCTCATTCTTCATTGTTGTTTTCCTGTAAAAATAATCCACGTTTGACCTTTTCCCCTCTCTCAAATCCCCTATACTACAGAGCATTCACCATTGGCTTGGACCATATGTGTCAAACTCGAGGCCCGTGGGCCAAATGTGGCCCGCCAAAGCTTTTTATGCGACCCTATATTCTAGACTGAACACTAGGTGTGCTTAAATATCATGCTATCAATCAAATTAATGCAGTTTTTTTTCTGTTTACTGTCAAATTACATCAATCAGTCAACAAATCCCTGCATTTTTGTGCTAATAATTGGGAGTTTATTGCAGATTTTTCTAAAAATAAAAAAAAAATTGTCCAAGACTTTCGTACTCAGCTTTAATCGATGTCAGATTATGGCATGTGAACTAATGCTGACTCAGTGACTTTCTAATTATATTTAGCGACATTTCAGACAAAACAAATTATCGGCCAAAATCAGAATCAGCAGGTCAGGCATTCTAGAGATCGGTAATTGGCGATGGGCCATAGATAATGAGAAATATCTCTATCAACAGATCAGTATAATTTTTTTAAGTTGATGTTTATGGCATAAGTTATCCCAGTCTACAGAAAATTGAATTACCGTAGTTAAGCTAACATTGCAAGCTAACCACTGCGAACAACCGAAAGCCTTAAATAACTGTTGTATGTAAATGTGATAGCGGCTTCAAGGTTTATCAAAACATTTGCCTGAAACTCTTTGGATGTTTGAGTCTGAAGTGGTTTAAGGATACAAAGAAATTTAATTTCAAAATAAGAGTGACTGTCCAGTGGTTTACTGCAGGTGAGTCTGACGGCCACAAACAAAGCCGTTCCTCTCTAAGACCTTTAAAAGACCGCACTGGAAAAAACAGAAATTGCATAAGCTTGTCAAAGAGATTCAAAACCTTCGCAGTGTTTTATTTGTGAATTGGCGATGTGAGCGGGTTCTTCAGAGCTACATTCAGCGATGCACTCAGCATTAGCATTCCAGCATATTTATTGCAAGGTTTTGCACAAAGTACCGTTGTTGTGAGTTTTCATTAAAAATGCCAGGAGTGGAAATTTGATTGAGAATCATCGAGTGTTCCTTTCTGAGCGACAAATAATTTAAAAAAAGTAATTCAATTAGAACAGCAATAATGACAGAATATTTGAGAGCTTGGAATGTTTTTTCTGGACTGAGAGTAAAGCTGAAGTGTAATTGCTGGTGCGTTCTTGCCTGACGGTCAATTAAAATTCATGTCCCGTCGTAACACTTGCGGCTTTTCAGCATATCAGAGATGTTCCTCCGTCGCCCGTCCACTTCTCTGTGACACATGTACTTTGACATTTGTGTGTGTGTGTGTTTTTAAACCAGAAGAGTCTTTAGGGTTATCTGCTGGGCTAACCCAGTGTCCGCCTCTTCTCTGTCCACGCAGCATCGATTCCTTTCTTCGTATGCGAGCTGAAGGCAGTGAAGCCCTTCAAGAGGGGCTTCACATGTGGAGACCCCAGCATCGGCTACCCTTATCTGACCCAAGAAGCCATTTCAGATAAGCTTCTTATCGCAGGTGGAATCGTCATCACAGGCCTGGCAGTGAGTTTTCAACATGTTACCCCCCCACACACACACCTCCTCCCATCACACCAGCTCCTTTTTTTTTTTAATTTTAATTTTTTTAAAACCGTTTCTCACTTCCTTTTTGAACTTTTTCCAACCTTCAGATTGCGCTCGGGGAGTGCTTCCGGGTGTGCTTCCGCAGCGTGAGCTCCAAATCGTTCGTGAAGAACCTGTACGTCTCCTGCCTGTACAAGGAGCTGGGCTCCTTCCTGTTCGGCTGCTGCGTCGGCCAGTCGCTCACCAACATGGCCAAGCTCAGCATCGGGCGGCTGCGGCCTCACTTCCTGGAAGTGTGCGGCGTCACATATGCGTCACTCAACTGCACGCTGGGAACGTACGTGCGTGCCACAGACGTGAAGTGTACCAAACCTGACCAACAATTAGTGGAAGAGGCCAGGTGAGGATCCGACTGATGACGTGTCAAAAACTATAAAAATATACAAGTGTGGGTTAATAAATTAAACTGTCATTAAAAAGTTTGTTTATTTCATGAATTCATAAAATACAGTCATAGTCTGTAAGTTTTAATTCCTTTCATTCATTCACGTCACTAAATAAAACAGAGACAGACGGTTTAGAAGTCAATTTTTCTGTAAATTACGATGATTTTCACTTACCGAATCTGAAAATGCAAGAATATTACATCAGACCAATAAAAAATGAGTAAAGAAATGTGGGTTTTAGTGAAAAGTATGTTTAATACCTGATAAGAAGTTATTTTCAGAATGTACTTTTAATCTGACAGACGAGCCTCACTGGAACTCGTATTATAATTTATTGAATGTGACTGTAGATTCAATACATTTCAAGCATCTTTTTAAAAAATTTAACTTGTAGCGAATGAAAGCCCAAAATTTAGTTTCACAAAAATGTGAAAATATTACATACAGACCAACATTCGCTATTTACAGCCTTCGAAGGGTGAACCACAAATCAATGGAAAGTTGATTGGAAGGAAAAACTGTGATCAAAAAAGGTGTGCAGGTAAAAGGATGTTCATTAATGCAGCAATTCACACCCATATACTTCACTAGGTGACAGCTTATCTATAAAACTGTCCATTCTTGTATTGAAATACTGAAACAAATTATGTTAAAATCGAGTTTCACCTGTAAAAGCAGATGACATGTTTATGAATTTTCTGTGCGATCTCCTTCAGTTACTTATAAATCTAAATGCTTTTTTCTGTTTTTGTAGGAAGTCCTTCTTCTCTGGTCATGCTTCTTTTGCCATGTACTCCCTGCTGTATTTAGCGGTGAGTTTCTACGTTTTCTACGAATATCTTCTTTTTTTTATTTCATAAAAATGGAAATACGTCAGCTAAAGAAATGATTATTTAAAGTTTGTCTATGTCTTACTGAAAGTGTAACTTTATAAACACATATAGAAACCATTTTTCAAAATGTACCACATAGTGTGTGTTTAATTCTTTGATAGTCGAGCTCTAATGAGTTCATAATGAACTTAAATATTATGTTATTGTGCAGGTTCACCAATCAGACATCAGGATCTTTTTTAAGACGTTTTAAATCATTTTCTTCAGAAGAGAAACTATAATAAAATGAATTGACCAGTAAAGATTTACGTCGAATTTTACTTAAATTATCAAGAACCACGAAGCACTCTCGTTGACTAGCCAAACTCGTGACATTTATATTTCTCTAGTTACAGTCGGCGTGTTCATATCTTGGAAAAAATTAATTCCTGCTGCATTCATTTATCGTCAGTGCAGTTAGTGACAAAAAGTGAAAGAATGATCGAGGACGGGGAGCGAAGGATACGAGGCGGACAAAAGCCGCTTTGTTTTGCTGTGGGAGGAGCGTCGCCGTCGCCCCCACAGCTCTGCTGCATTGTGTGGATGTGTGTGTGTGGCTGTGGGAACTTGTGTGTAAACCCTGGTGCCCTCATCACAAGTTGGTAGATCGAGTTCAATCCTCTGATTTTAATACTCCAAATCAAGCTTACAGTTATTAAAAAAACAATTTTCAATAAGACTAAACAAAACAAACCCCTTATAACTTCTTTAGACCTTGAATTCAGATTAAGGTTAAAACTTGTAGTTGTAATAATTAGTGAAGCAGTCAGACTCCGTTTGGAGAGTCGATACTGTCAAAATAATCAGACCAAAAATTTGAAACGTCTTGACAAACTCACAGAGTGCGAGCAATTTTGTTATTATATTACAATAAAATATTTAGAGTTATTCATAGAGCACATTTCAGCAACAAGGCAGTTCAAAGTGCTTTACGTCATAAAAACATTGTACAGTTAGCAAATATGAAACAAGAAATGAACATATTTTGTCAAATGCCATCATCAAAAAGCAAATACACATCAAATATATTGATCAATGTTCCAGGTGTAAAGAGTAAAGGCAGCTCTAAACATTAAGGCTTTTATTAAGGCTTTGATTTGAATGAATTCAGTGTTTCGACATCTTTGCGGTTTTCTGGAAGTTTGTTCCAGATTTCCTATGACAAAAAAAAAATAAAACAAATTGTTCTCGAGCAGCTGAACGTTAGGGGTTTGCAAGTAAGTCTTACAAAAATGAAGTGGGGGTTTTAATTAATGGAAAACCTTTTTTTTTATCAGTGAAGTAGAAAGAAAGCTAACATGTTTGAAAGTCCAAAGTCCAAAAGAAAAGCTTTCACGTCTTTCATCGTCTTCCCGGGAAAAGAGCTCTGTAGATCCTTGGTGCTGTCCATTTACTTCAACCACAGACGTCTCTCTTTTTTAATTTTTATTTTTATTTTTATCACAGTCAGTTTTAAACTGCATTTCATTTATTTCCTGGTTTACTCATTTACACTGAATGACCTCCAGACCATTAAACATGTTGTTGTTTGTAGTTCTATCTGCAGGCGCGGCTGACGTGGCGCGGCGCTCGGCTGCTGAGGCCGCTGCTGCAGTTCCTCCTGGTCGTCCTGGCGGTCTACACGGGTCTGACCCGCATCTCGGACTACAGGCACCACCCGTCGGACGTGCTGACAGGATACGTGCAGGGGGCTCTCACTGCGTACTGGGTGGTCAGTATTCCTCACCGTCCCTGTTTGGTTCACCGGAGCGCGTCCGCATGTCAGAGTCTGCTCATGTCTCAAAGTCGTGTTTGTGTTTGTCTGTTTCCTCCCCGCACCGCCAGGCTTTCTACATCTCGCCGATGTTCAAAGGCCGTACGTCGGACCTGTCCGCAGTCGAGAAGCCGGACGGCCCCTCGTCTCCTCAGCATACCGTCTGCTGAAAACCCCACGAGCCAGAGGAACGCCTGGCAATTTCCTCTGAAATCACAAGACATACCTCTACGTTTTGACAGCAGAAAAAGACTTTCGGAGACAATCTCTGCAGCTCATAAAAAAGAGAGAGAGAGAGAGAAAATCGAAGCTATTGAGAGGAAGGAGACTGAAAAGTGTGTCTGTTATGTAAACAGCCTGAGCCCTCGACCTTTTGCCCTTGTGACTGGTCACGCCCCTCCGACCTGAGACTGAAAACAGGAGCCACCATAACTACGCACCACTTGTACATGTGTAAATATTGTTAAAGCACAAAGGATAACGTCAAGGCACATTTCATTTCAGTGTTAGTGTTATTGCCACTTTGCAATGAATAGAACGTAATATATTTTTTATAAACACAGATTGTATTATTTAACAGTTTTTACATAATTTTGTACACTGCTGCATGTAAGCACTTGTTTTTTTCTTCTTCATGTGTTTGGCCAGATGTCGTAGGGTTTGTTGTGTCATAAGAAAACGACTAATAGACATCCTAACAGAACATAACTTACAGAAAAAATACTGAAATTATCAGTAGAGGTCATTTTTGATGTATACGCGTCAGTGTGCAGGCGCAGCTGACATGAGGCCACCTAGAAGTAAAATGTTTTATAAATATGTTGTGTGTTTTGATTCGTGATTATTTTCCTCTTACTGCAAAACAAAAAAGAAGTATGTTTGGTCTACGTTTTAGTGTAAAGATCTAAATAAAAAACTGACTTACAAGTAATTTTGTACTAGATATAGGAGCTTGTTTTAAATAAATAATTCTTCAATATTGATGAAAAAGTGTTTCTACTGGCAGATAATGTCACTATTGACATGGTGAAAATATCTTGTTATAAGTGAAATAATCTGCCACTGGAAATAATTATTTTTTTTCTGTGAAATTAAACTTTACCAAAAATGAATAGCACTCCAAATATCTGAAGCTCATTCTACTAGAAAATTCACACAAAAAAAAGTGTTTGCATTTTCAGTTAATTAATGTGAAGCAAATGATTTTGTACAATTTTCTACAGGCTGATAATGAACATTAATATCGATACTTAAGCCAAAATATTCACAGAAAGGTCTGCTTTGCCATCTAAACAATTTGAACTGCAAATGTTTCTGATATGTTTTGTAAAAACAAAAGGTTTATAAAATTCTGCAGAGTGGACATACATTTGATGAAGTACTTTTTTTTTTAAGATCTAAAGATTCTTGCACCTGGTTTATTGTGTGTGTTATTCTTTTGCTAATCGTTTTAGTGTTTGTTTGTTTTTTCTTTATTTTCATAATTTGTTTTCACCAAATTTTCATCTTCACCAGATCATCTCTCTGTTTCTTCTTCGTTCTTTTCTCTTTTAGTTTTACATTTGAATTTATTTATTTTTTTTACATAATTTCTTGTCTGATGATCTTAAAAGACGAAAACAAAAATGAAACAAAACAAATTCGATATTTTACAAAATTGAAGACTTAAAAATGAAAATGGTTGGTAAAAGTTGATTTATATATTGCTTGTATATATATATATATATATATATATATATATATATATATATATATATATATATATATAAATTTAAAATGAGTCTGTTAACCATACCCTCCTCAATAATACACTTTGCAAAAGATTAAAGTGAAACCACACAATAGAAGTAAATTAATAGTAAAAAATCTTTATTTGATCAAGAGAAGTAATACAATCTTTATTCCTGTCATTAAAATCATACACAGTCATTTTTAAATGAAGTTTTGTAGTTAATCTTTCTTGTCAGCAGAACTCATCGTTTCATCTATTTCTTCTCTGCTGCCTGAAATGAACCTCATCACCTCCATCTCTGATTTCACCGCCTCTTACTTCAAAATATGGCTGCATTGTCATATGTACCAGTTCATCATACTTATAATGCCTGTGAAAATGTCAGTTTTCCATATTTTCTCAGAAATGTAATGATCAAGTACAATGATGTCATGTTGTCCTTTTGATAAAAGTTGCAGTGATTTGTGACTGAATACATTCTGCACTGCTGCTCTCTGTAACCATTTCAAATTGATAATTTTATCTTCATTAAAAAGATTCACATCAGTCGTTCATCGGATGTTTTCAGCAACAATTTTCTTTTGTATCTCTTGGTTTCTGTACAGTTTGGTGCAAAAGTCATTAAGTTATCCCTCAATTCTTAAGTTTTGCTTTTTTTTTTTTTTAAGTGGCTTTAGTCAATATTTCTTTCTATTTCTTCAGGACTTTTAAAGATTTTCTTTTTCACAGAGTAACAGCCCCAATACCTGTCAACATTTAAATGGATTTTTGTTTGACCTCTTTGGTCCCAAAAAGCTTTCATAACTCAAGGGCGAAACTGGTTTTTTGTCTACTCACGATGTAACAAAGAACCAGTGACGAAACCTTTTCACTTTGCTACTAGAGTCACAGGAACTCAGATGTTCCCATTCCTTTATTTTCTAAAAAAAAAAAAAAAACAAAAAAAAAAAAAAAAAGTTAAACAGTTTAACACACAAACTGAGATCTTGGCAACAAATCAATCAATGCATCTCCTTTTTTCTAAACATAGAAACTATTTATCTGCATTTTCCTAATTTCTTAAAGCAAACATTTTATAACGAGCTGCTGTGGTCAGCTTCTAGCACCACACAGGAAATGAGTGAACTCCAAAGAAAATGTTTAAAAGACATGTAGAAAGCCTGAAGAAGTGACTTTTCATTAGAGTCAAAGTGTGGAAATACAGGATGACCTAAGACTTTTGCACTGTCTTGCAGCCGTTTCATCTGTTTTGTACAGAGATGTTGCAATATTACAGAGTCGTCTGAAATGCCACACAGTAGAGAGCGTCAGCCATGAGATCCCTTCACCATTTCATACTTTTCTGGTTTTAAGTTTCGGTTAATCAGATAATTTGGGTTCATAAAAGAGCAGCGTGCCATTGAACGCTTCATACCGACCATCACTTTGTATCTGCCTTGGTGAACTTTGCCCTCAGTTTGGTCATTAATATCTTACAGTCATAGTTATTTTGATTTGATAAGGAGTCATAATGTCTCATTTCATGGGTCGACTGGTCCGAATGAGAACCAGCCACACAGTGAATGAAATTAGGGTGTAATATAAAGAATAATGTAAAATCTTTTAAAAAAAGAAAATTATATACAATAAATTAAATAGGTCAAATTTGTCCAGTTTAATCATTTTTCATCTCATATTGATCAAAATACTTCTTCAAAGTCAAATTTTAAAGTGAGGTTTTGTTAAAAAAAAATGCTCTAAAGGGTTAACGTCTTACCTGTGTCAGATTACTGTCGTTTAGTATAAATCCAGATTATCTGATAAGATTAAGCTAACAGCTTGTTAGAGAAAGGCCGAGACCAAAGACGTCTGTCATCTCAGAACACATTAAGAACATGAGAGCGATTTATGCTAACATCGCTTTATAAATCATTTAGGCATTCAGTAGATATATTCAGAGAAATGGCTGATTGTTACACAGGAAAATGTGTAACAATCAGCACAGAAGAAGCGGTACACTACTAATAATCCGCCTGTGTGAAATATTTTTGAGTGAAATATGTTGTTTCTTGACCGATAAAGAGGAGTGATAAACAAAAATACAAAGTTTATTCGTCATTGTCATGTTGTTCTATCAGATAGTAACTCTGACCAGAGGTGTTTTCACATCTGATAACCTGGTAGACTGGGTTGGACTGGGGACTAAAATTGCAACATTTGTTACATTTTCAGCCGGTGCAGGTGGCTTCAACACATTTGTCAAACAAACCAAAAACTTTGAACATGTTGTTCACCTCCTCGCCTGTGGCGGCGCTGCGCCAAGAACTACTGAAGGAAACAACACAAAAGTCTCTGAACAAGACAAGCACAACTTCCTTCTTCTCAAAATGTAAAACAAAAATGACGTTTTAGCAGCTGTAGTATTTCTCTTCTGCCTTTGGTTGGAGACCACGCGCCTTTTCTTACGCTAGCGCTAGACTTATGCGTTTGTTTATGTTGCGTTTACCCAGAATGCACAGTCCGCTTCCCGCCTTTGGAGCGGTCTCCGGTCCGCTTACGTCCGCATGTGCGTTCAAACTGCACCAGAGTTCACATTTATCAAAGAGAAACCTAAGTTTGTAGGCGGATCAGATCGCACATTCACACCTCTCCAAACAAGCCGGGCTTTCTAGGCAAACAAACTAGAGTTCGATGAAAACGGACTAAACAGGACTGGTGTGAGTGCACTCCTAAAATCTGTTTCACGTAGAAATCCCAAATTGCCACCCGCTACCTCTATTTCCCAGGTATATACTCTTTTGACTTCTTTGTAAATAAACCTTCAATGCAAACACAACAGCTTATATGTAAACTTCTGTACCGTTTCTGAAACAGGAGCTGGAGTCCATTTTGGCCTTGGATCATTTTGGACATGGTGTTGACATTAGCCTCAGGGTCCAACTGGATTTAAGCTAAATTACTGACTGCAGGTAAGATATCAGCCTCATAACAGAACCTCACTCCCTTTAACTACCAAGAAACAAAGTCATATGAAACGGGTAAACGGATGGATAATACATGTTCGGTTTACAGGTAGAAACTGGCAACATGCACAGATGAAATCAAGGAATGAATTGGCAAAGGGGGGCAAATCGACCAAGATTCCACAGTAGCTGTATAAAGTAGCATTTATTTATCCACTCTAAAATGTACATAACTATATTTTCTAATTCGTCATGTGCTATCCAGGGTTTCTGAAAAGAACATCGGCATCATCATTTTTTTTTTATTATCCCCCGATTAATTAATAACAAAAATGTCGATCATTTCTCTGAATGCCTCCATCTCTCTTTGTGCACACAAACAGAAAAACAGGAACATTTATTTCACATGTTTACTTGAACTTCAATAGCAATACAAGACAATCAGAACACTTGAGGTCGATATGTACAAGGATCTCAGGAGGGGTTTGCAGAAAATCTCTGAGGTTTTACACAATCTCCGGCTCTGTGGTCAGCGAGTTCCTCCACGGGGCAGTTCGTGGCAGCTCTGGGGGACGGGGGGAACAAAAGTTTTTTGGTCTTGATGTGAAATGGGTCGAGTTGAAATCAGGAGGAGGAGAGAGACGGACAGCTCCTCCAGTCGGTATTGATAAAATGCTTCAATGTGATACATTAAATATACAATAATGTATTATATACACATACTTTCTCTGTCATACGCACATATACCCATCCTTACAGACACACATGCTCATCAAGCTATGCACACTCACCCGCATGTATGCATCAGCACGTCCTCCTACAGTATGTAGCCTTGCAAAGCCACTATAAAGTCATGCATGAGTTCTTTGAAAGGATTTCTTTTTTTTTTTTTTTTTGGCAAAACACAAGTGCTTCTTTGACACACTGTTTGCTACAGGGAGGGGCAACACCCAGCCAATGAAGCAAAACCTAGGCAACGAGGACAGATTAAGGAAAGCACCAATGATATGGGAAGACACAAGGGAGTTTCGGGAAAGACAGAAGAGGGGAGCAGCAGGAGGAGAAGCAGCTATAAATGGATCACAGTCATACAAAAGTAACAAAACACGGAAAAAGTGGGGAAGTCTCGTGGTGATCGGGGTGTAGAAGCAGGGAGGAGCCATCATGTAAAATGCCAGAATTGTTAGAGAAGTCCAACATTATTATTCTAAAGCATAATCTTGGTTTCCATCTTTTTGTTCTTCACTTTGTTGAAATTGTCACCATCCTCCTCCTCTTCCTCCTCCTCCCTGGTATCTATACCCCAATCACCACCGCCCTAGTCACAGGCTCGTCACCCGCTGCATCTGTCCGTCGTCTCCCTCAGAAGTGGGCTCTGCCGCGTACCCTGTCTCTCCGTTTGAAGCTAGCGGCGGGGGCTGGTAGAAGGTCTGCAAGTGATTGGGACGTGGGCCTAACGGCGGGCGCCCCAGGCTGTAGGGCAGCTCCAGAGTGGGCCGCTGGGGCTGATGCCCGCTGGTAGGGCTGACTTCTTCTGGGCCTTCGGGGCTGCTGTCTGGGTACATGTGAGTCGGCGGAGAGGTGCGAGTGTAAAAGCGGGGAGGGGAGCCACTGCGGCTGTACACCTGCGGAGAGTGGCGGGAGTAGAGTTTACCCGGCGGCGAGTTGTCTTCTTGTGGCGCGAAGATGTTTGTCGGCGGAGAGTTTCGGGAGAAGATGTTCAGCGGCGGTGAGCAGCGGTCTCCGGGGTACAGAGGGGAAGGGTTTGAATCCCGTGTGTAGATGGGCGAGGAGTCTGGGTCCAAGTCGAGATCGGGCGTTAAAGGTAGGGTGAAGCTGTCTGAATCCTGACGCTCGCCTTGATACCGCAGAGACCCTCTGTCTTTCCCCCTGATCCTCCCGTCTAGGCCTCCATCTTTGTTTTCGAATGAGAAAGACTCTTCCCTGTCCAAATCTATCCCGCCTCTCCAAACATCCAGCGCTCTGTCCTTCTGTTTCTCGCTCTCTCGTTCGATCCCTGCCCTCCACCCATCTCTGTCCTTCAGGAAAAAGGATTCGTCCGACCCTCTTTCTACCTCACTTCTCCAACCGTCCATCCCAAAGTCTTTCTTCTGAGTGATAAAAGTCTCTCCCTGCTCCGTCTCCCCTGCTCGCCACAGCTCGAGTCGTCCATCTCTCTTCTCGAGCATTTTAGATTCCTCCCTGCCTCTCTCAATGCCGGACCTCCACTCATCCATCGCGCCGTCTCGCTTATGAGAGGTGAAAGACTCGTCTCGTCCCCTTTCAGTTCCTCCTCTCCAGTCGTCAGACATTCCGTCTCTTTTCAGCAGAAATGTCTCCTCCTTTTCCCTGTCCTGGCCACCTCTCCATGCCTCTACAACCGCTTCTCTCTGCTTCATAAGCAGTGGCTCTTCCAGAGCCTTGTACAGCGACTCTGGCTCCTGTGGCGGTGGGGGAGGAGGCGGAGGGAGAGGTCTGTCTCGGTAGCGATCCCTGTCTCGCTCTCTGTCCCTCTCCCTGTCTCGTTCTGTCCCTCCAGTAGACTCCACCGTGCTGCGGTGGCGGGACAAGGTACCCGGGGTGCGGCTTAGGGTGGCGTAAGGCCGAGCTTGGACGTCCGGTGGTCGAGCCGGCTGCCTTTCCTGGTGTCCACGCCTGCCCAGAGTACCTTGCAGCTGTGAGCGGTCTCCGTCTTTGAGTAACTCCTGGGTGTCGGAATCTCCAGAAATGCGTCCGTGTGACCAGCCGTCTTGCAAGCGAGGCGTGGTGCCGTGCTCTTGGCCCCGTGTGGCGGCGTTTGCCTCGGTGTCCTGTGTGGGCGGCCTTGCATGCGCCCAGCCCTCTTGGGCGTTCTGCCGGGAGCTCGGCTGCACCGTGGCAGACCAGCCCTCTTGCGAGGGCTGCGGGTGGCGGGTCAACGTAGCGGTGTGAGTAAGAGCTGGCCTCTCATGGTGATGTGGCCTCGCCAGGCTCCCATAGCGCTCGGGCGGAACGGGCATGGGGACGGAGGGCCGCAGGTTGCTCTGGACCAGCTCCGAGATGATCATCTTCTCCAGAGCCGCCGCGTCGGACAGGTTACGACGCATTCCGGCTCCGCTGTTGAGGTCTGTCGAGCTGTGCGGTGTGAGGAGCCCCGGTGAGATGTCATCACCTCCAAGCCCAACGCCCCCCTCCCTGAGGAGGTCAGCGCTGCCCACTACTCCTGCTCGGGACCCGGGCGTTGTACCCAGACCGTGAAGGGTGAAGGTGTTGGGGGTGTAGCCTCCATTGAGACAAACACTGTCCAATGCGCAGGATTCCTGGCTCTGCGACACTCCACCCTCTGTGAGGAGAAATAAAGATATTAAAGATTAAAAAAAAGACAGAGAAGACTGAAACAAAGACGGAAAGGCACATAATGAATGAATGAATGAATGAATGAATGGATACAGATTGGAGTTCATATGTCGCTGAAGGTGGAGGGTTACCAGGAGGACTTAGGAGATAAACAAGCTGTTCCTTAATGAAATGTCTGCTCATGTTGCCACATGGAGAGGTGTAAGTTATGCCTTCACAACACCTTGCAAAAGTATTTCCACCACTTCAACATTTTCCCACATTGTCACATTACAACCTCCACTGGATTTTATTGAGATTCTAAGTGAATAACCGTCACAATTTTTTTGAAACATGTTCTCATCTGTCCTGAATTAATACTTTGCGGAGCCCCATGTTGCTGCTGTTTTGGGCTGTGACTCTACCATCTATGCTCCTTAATTTTGCTAAACAGCTCAAGCTTAGTTGGCTTTTTAAATCTTGTCATAGATTTTCAGTCAGATTCAGGTCTGGACCTTGATCGGAACAATCACACACATGAACATGTTTTGTTTTAAGCTATTCCACTGAAGGCCGTCGCTGTACGTTGAGCGTCTTTTTCAACTTCCCAAAACTTTACTTCCAGTATTACCCTGTATTTCGCTCCAACTTCCTATCAACCCCGACCAGCTCTCCTGACCCAATGTTTCTTTAAAGAGCAAAAAGGTCCATTTTGGACAAACAACTTCTACACGTTTGTTGTTTAGTTGGGCGGCCATACCTTCTACTTTTGCAGGACAGACTGAGCGTGACAAAATGTTGAGACGAAAAAGAAACATGAATAATTTTGCAAGAAGACTGTATGGTTTGTGCATATTCACTTTCTGTGGCTGTTGCACTGAGAGTCCATGAATTGAAAAAAAAATGGTGCTCAATGACTTAAAGGAGCACAAAAGGAAAGAGGTCATACTCTGTTTGTTTCTGAAGGTTCCTACTGGTCCACGTAAAGACACGGAGACAGAGAAGGAAAGCGTGAAAAACATTTATAAACGACAAAAAATATTTAAAGGAAAAAGAGAAAAGAAATTGTCCAAAAAAAAGTCATTTTTCTCACACTGAAATAAACTAAAAGCTTTATAAATAAGACAGTAAACATGATGAACAAAAACAAGCACACAAATAATTGTACATTATTACAAATTAAGTTACATTACACATAAAATGATCTGTAGCCACTCTTTCAGGTTTACTTGGAGTTTTTGAGCTTTTAACCTCTAACTTTCATATTGAATATTATTGTCCAACCTTGGGATTTTATATACTTTGATTACAGCTGCATTGGATCAGCAAAAGGTGATAAACAGATCCGTCTGTTGCCTTTTTTCATTTTTTCGGCCATGTTTTTAGGACCGGCGGCCCGATGGAACCGGTGGTAGCGTGAGCTTGCTAATGAATGTCGACGTTGGAGCGCGGCTGTGCTTGACACGCCAGTGCGCCAGCTTTGCTTTTTAGGATTTGTAATATCAGCTGCGTGTCCAACATCCAGCCAGCTCTAATGGAAATTTGCAATTATCTGCCAGGCCAATTATAATTACAGCCTGATTTTTACACATATAATCTAAAAGAATGTGACCAAAAAAAAGAAAGAAAAAAAAAGAAGTGCAAATAGTTTTCCATAGCATTATTATTTAGATTTAGCAGCTTTGCATGTCCTTAAGTTTGATATATCCCTAATTTCACAAAATGATACTGATACATTTTAATGTCAAAAACATGTTCTTTAACTTACAATGTTGAATCCTTACACTCCTACATAATATTAGTTTATTTTAATATTTTGAAAATACTGAAAAGTGTAATTTTTTTTTCTGGAATCTTCCCCAGTAGAGACACAATTAACTTTTGTCCCATGAAACATTCAAGTCTGGAGTTGAGTAATAATTTAATGTGACTCTGAGCATACGCTGAACAATCAAAATATTCTATAAGAATATTTGTTTTCTTAGATATACCAGTAAAAATAGGAAGATCTCATGTGATTCAATGGGACGTACCAGTGGAGGTGAAGGGCTGATTGTATCCCTGCGCCAGCATCGTGTCGTAGGGAGAAGCTCCAGCATGAGTCTGCAGCATTTGGTTTGTCAGGAAATGGTTTCCCAGAGCAGCTGAAGGAGAGAGAGGAAAACAAAATGTTTTTTTTTCTCACTCTTTTCACAGCAGGCTGAAAGCAGAGCTAATTCCCCCAAACCTCACCTCTGTTAAGAGTCGGAGTATTGTTAACATCTGCGGCGATGAAGGAGGACTCAGTCTGCCTGCGAACCGTGTCGTTCCACATCCTCCTGATGCGGCTCTAGAGTGGAAAATTAGCTCGCGGTTAAACAGTGGCTGGGGGTCAAACAGACTCGGCAGCAGGTAAAAACAAACGCATCGCTGCGTTTCACCTGTCTGTTCGCCGTAGCTCTCCGGCTCTGGCTGCTGGTGTAGCGGCTGTTGGAGCGAAGCGCCGCGCCTTTCACCGAGTCCGGAGAGCTGGAGGAGGACGTGGCGCAGCACTGGGAGAGACGCAGGCATCGGCCGTAGTCCTTCTGACCCTAAGCCCCCCACCGTTTACGCAAAACAGAGCGTTTAGTCGCAGAGAAACGGACGTGTGTAATTGCATAACGGCTCCTGGATGCTGACCTTTCTGGCGAGCGTGCAGTGGAGGATGGTGATGAGGAGGGCCTGGGCCGTGTTGAGGGAGGTGAAGAGGTAAGCCAGCAGGAGAGACGGACCCGACAGGAACATCAAGCCCGAGGACCAGGTGACGCTCAGCAGGAAGAGGAGAGTCAGGGAGCCCACGGCCCAGGCCCTGCAGGCCAGGCAGCAAGGTCACGCAAGAGGCAGGGAGGATATTTTATTTTACTTTTTTGTTTGTTTGTTTGTTTGACAAATTAAAGACAGTGGTGATGGAGATAGAGAGAGCCTGCAAAAAACTTAAATGTGGAGCAGAACAACAGGAGTAAAGATTATTATTCGCGTCTAAACCTGAATCTGATCTGTGGGAAGAGTTGGAAATGTACACAGACCCTATTGGCTGAGCCTAAACTCAGCCAATATTTGCAAATATGAAATAGCAAAAACATAATTTGGTAAAAGCCTTTGCTAAAAAACTTACAGTGGTTCTACAAAGTGTTAACTCAGGCCGGGTGAATGCAAATATATGACACTTTGTGTGCAAAAAACTATCTGTGCACTGCTTCTGTTGGTCTGCCACACAGAGTCTCCAGAAAATACATCACGTTTTGTGGCTGTGAGGAGATAAAACAAAGAATGGATTTTGCAAAAATTTCAATTAACGACAGCATGCTTTTTAAAAAAGAAAATCTCAGAATTTTAGATCTGTTCTGCTTTTTCCACATCATCAGTGGACGCCACCTCAGAAACGTTTCACCTTCCTGGTTTGTGTTACGTTTTAATGACAAAACACATGGAGGAGATGGCGACCTGAAACTGATTATGCCTCTTGTTTGAGGTTTCAGCTGCGTTCCTGTCCACATTAACTGTTTTCTTTTATTATTTTAGTTTGTCACAGAGACAGACATACGTTTTTGTCTATCAGCACGAGTCGACATTAAACTTCACAGCGGGGTTTTGAAACTTTTTAACGTCTCTTGAATTCTGTTTTCCCGCAGAGCTTTAGCTTGAACAAAAAAAACGTTACAAAGACTATCATACGTATGACTCAATACCTTCTGGAATAAATCCACCTCTGAAATGTTTACAGTAATAAGATTTCCTGTTGCTGTTCCGAAAACTTTTCCACACTTTCTTTTTTTTTTTATTTCCTCTGCGGATGTTCGGCTCTGCGTGTAATTCACAACGAATCTAAACCTTAAACAAAAATGTTCCTGAGTTTTTCTCTGAACAGTTCTGTAAAAGCAAAGCAGGAACCCCACAGCGAGACACAGGGCAAGCTCAACCAAAGGTGATGGACAAAGCTCACACACACATGTACACACACATGTACGCACGCATGCACGCACACACACACACACACACACACGTATGCACGCACGCGCACACACACACACACACGCACACATATTCCCAGTTATGTGCAGAAAGTTGATTCTTTCATATTTCGTCTCTTTTCAACATCCAGGTGACGCTGATTTCAAAACTTCAGAGACTTTTTGTCAATTTTAACTTGAAAACCTTGAAATTTTCCGACTTCACACATAAAAAAAAAGGGAAAAAAAAGAAAAAAGGTGGCGCTGTAGAAGCTCGACACGCCGTGAATTCTTCAAACATTGAAAACGATTTAAACTCATTCAGACACCGTGATCTTTATTCAAACATGAAAAACAGCACGAGGCTGTCTGACTGACCGGAGGTTGTCGTGGCGACTGGAGTCGGGCTTGAGTGCAGCGGTGCTGTGCATCTTGTGTAAGGTCATCACCAAGACGACCAGGTTCAACTGAGGCAAACGAGCAAAGACAGATGTGTTGTTTAATGTACATTAGTCAGAGAGACGCTGAAAGAGAAGCTGAACATTTGCAAAAAAAATTAAAGACTTTTTTTCTCCCTCTAAAACAACAACATTTCATTGTAATATTTCAAAGTGGTGTTCATCCATTTTTCAGGTTTTCTGAAACCTTTCAAAGTTTTCATTTGGACCTTGGTTGCTTTCTCAATCATTTTTTCATCTAGTCTTTGTTCTTGACAGTGGCAGCATATTGCACAGAACAATCTTTAAAAAATAAACTGGAGAAAAGAAGTGTCACACATTAAAAAACATTTTTTTTAAAAACCGTCTTCTGCTGACAGAGTTCCTGCTGACTCTGTCAGCAGAGTCAGCATGTGGGCATGTGCGTCTGAGTCCATACATGCCCTGACTCAGACTTCAACGTTTTTGCAACATGCATTTGACATTTGAGCAGCAAAACATTTTATTATTACCTCACGATCTTCCACTTTGTATACCCCACAAATCATGAAACAATGCAACGCTCATTAGTTTCTCATTCTGCAGCCACAACTGGCTATTTTATAACTTATTGGCCTGTGGAACTGAGATCATCTGTTACCACGACGTCTGATTTAAGATACTTTCACTTCAGTTATGAGCTGAAAACCATTTGAGTATGAACATTTTTGCTAAGTGCCACCAGTCCAGTTTAAAACAAAACCCTGATGGTAGAGATAACGTCTGACGTTTTGGAAACAAGAAATAAAGAAATGGGAGATAACTGAAAAATATTTGCACGACACAATGCAGCAGAACCCACCGTGATGATGACGGCTACAGGTCCGAGGAAACTCCAGATGAAGTAGTTATCTGTGCGCAGCCAGCACCTGTAACGGCACCAACACCCGGAGAAATAATAAGCATGTTGACGTTAGACAGCAGGAAAAAGAGCAGTACATACAAAATGGATAGATCTTCTCACGCAACTGCAATAGATTAAAAAAAAGTCAATTTGATTATTTCAGTAAAATATTTTCCACAATTGTGAGGGGAGAATATGGGAATTGGGAGAAGCAACCAATAAGATCACAAAGCATGTTCTTTAGTTACCCTTTGTTATTTATTCTTTTTTTTTTTCTGGCTTGTTTTTCTTTTTTTTTCTTTCCCACTTTTACTCAAAATATGTGTCGCTAGATTAATTAAAACAAGGAATATAAGGGGAAAAAAAGGCATGTAGAGAGGAAATGATAATTGGAAAATAACCACCAAGAAGAAAATAAAAAAAAAGCATATCCCACTTGCATTTTGTGTCGTGACATCGCTTGTTGATGTTGTGTTTTGTCTTCGTCTGAAATGTGAGCATTTTAACTTATTTTTTCCCCTCTCACACTTTGTTCATTTTTATTGTTGCTTTTCCTCTCTGCTTATCTAATTGGTTATTTTGCAGACCAAAACTTCCGTCTGCTATCCTGTATTGGTTGTTTCGTGTGCACTAGTTGGTGACTTAACCAAGAAAAAAAAAAAAAAGACAGTAAAAGACAGTAGGGAAAACAGAGCGATTCCCCACATTCATCAACTTACGCCGTTTTTGAACCGTATCCTCTAAAGTCGATGGCCGCCGACACGGCCACCACCAGCCCGGGCACGGAGTAGCCGCAGAGGTAAAAGTACTTCCTCCTGGAGTTGCGTCCCTCGAACACCTCCCTCTGCAGAAGGTACAGCTCCACTGCCTCCAGGCACAACCAGCAGAACACAGACAGCAGCGAAAAGTGCAGCAGGCCGGCGGTGATGGAGCAGAGGACCTGAAAACGGGAGTGCAAAATGAGCAACCACAAAAAAAAAATAAATAAAAATTCAAGATGATTTGTCTGATATCAAAGTACTGACCGTGTACTTGGTCTTGTTGGCGCCGATAAGGAAGATGAGCTCCGTGATGAGCAGGTTGGCCCACAGGTTGCAGTGGATGGTGCTGTGGTCAGTGTGCCACGGCGCCCCCTGGCAGCAGAGGGTGATAAGGCAGGTAGCCAAACACACAAGAGCGACGGCGATGCCGACCCAGGAAACCACGTAGACCAGAAGCTCCTCCACACCGGCGCCGAACTGAGAAGCAAATGTCACAGCGGGGCGTCGATTGACGTGTGGAAAAACAACAAGAACGAACGAATGCAGAGGCAGAGCGTTGGTGCAGATCCTAAAGCGGATGTGGATGTATTGTGTAGTGTGTGTGCGTGTTGGTGTGTGCGTGTATGTGTGTGTGTGTGTATGTTTGTTACATAACGTCTATTTATGTGAATAAATCACAGCTAATGAAGAGAACATCTTGCAGGGAACACTTAATTTGATTTCATGGCAGGACAAAATATCCTGCTGCATGTCTGCAGCAGCATCCAACGCCTACTCTGCGTCTGATTTCCTCCTTTGCTTAGAGACCACAGTGTCAGTCTGAGCTCTCTGAGTAAGAGGAAGAAATAAGGCAAAATTTGGCACATGGCTACTTAAATCAACAGCAGTGACACGTTTTATAATAAACTGTTCTATAACACATGTAAAAAAATAAATAAATAAATAAAAAAGAACCTGAAGTGCTTTATTAATATTGGCAAACAACAGCTTTTAAGTGTAGAGATCAAACCTAACTCAAATTTAGAGACAAAATTAATTGCCCACACTGGATTGTGTAAAAATAAAACTTTAAATCAGTTCCTCTCTTATTTATGGGCTGTAACGATGCCTACAGCAAGACCAGACCAGACGCGACACTGAATTCATGAGAACGAGACGCTGCGCTTCAGGAACGCCCTCGTTCTGCTTTTTATATATATATATATTGATTTTCCTACAAACTCAACAAACTGATGTCTGATGTTAATCTGCTGCTATTTATTGCTCCAGGTCGGAACCAAATGCAGTCAACTAAACCTTTTAGATCTTTTATTACCACTTCCTGAGGAGGAGCCCAGCTGACGCTGACTGACGCTCATGAGGCAGCAGGCGCCTCAACGAGAAACGTTGTGATGTTTTAGTTGTGCGTTCACGCCAGGAAACTCCAAAGCAGACTTTGTCTTTTTTTTCTCCCGGGTGCAGTTTGCATTCATTTTTATGCTTCTTTTGCAGCAGAACCACAAAACCAAGCAGATGACCGTCGTTCCTCCTGTTGGACGGAAGTGACGGAAAGGCAACAAACGTGGATGTCCTACTTGCTGCATTTCTGCTCTGCACGTTTTTTTTTGTTGTTGTTGTTGTTGTTGCTGTTTTCACAACCGCGGCAACGTTTTAAATGTCAAGAGCGCCTCGTGCGACGCAGGTTTCCCAATGTGATATTTCTCATTTCGGAGTGGCCTCAGCGGATGCTGCTGCGAGCCGAACGAGACGAGGAGCTCCTGACCCACAACGTGCTGCCAGCACTGAGCAGAGTCCGGCGCATCGGGCCTGATTTCAGTTCAGTTGGCGCACGCAGAGGCAGCGTTCCGGAAGTGGAAGCTGCACACCAGGGTTCGTTTGGAGGTTAACCGAAACCACCTCGAACAGCGGGTGTCATTCCGGTTGATTGTCCCACGCCGGGATTCGCTTCAGTGAACGGACAAAAGGTCCAGAACAAGGCGGGAAACGAGCTCTGGTCGGTTTAAAGCGCATCAAAATGTATCAGGTGTGAATAGACCCTTGAAATCACAAAATCTCATACAATGATGTCTTGCTACACCTCTGTTTATTTCACTTGTACAACCTAATAGTAAGAATTTTAGAATGAGCCAACCTTTAAGTACATTTAAACCCCATATCATGAAAAGAAAAACAAGTGGAAGCTATTAACAGACTCGTGTTTGTCGCACCAGCATGCCTGGTGAGGAGGACGCTGAGGGTGCCATGTTGGGGGTCTCCAGGTCACTATGGTAACCATTAGATGTTTTCTTAATGCCTAATGATCGTTTAGGGAAAAGCACCTCATGTCCACTGTTAAGTACATTGGACAGGTTTTGTCTGCCAAAGGCCCTGGGAATCTTACTGCTTGGCAACGTGAACTCTTTCAAACAGTCTCAAGTAAAAATCTGGCGGCTTCTGCCAGAAAACTGAAAGTAATCGCTGGGTCTTTCTGCTGGATGACTTAATCAAAACAAAAATCATTAACCACCAAATCAACCCTCCTTTAATGGCTGTCTGAGTTACACGGCCTAAATCCTCGCTGCTCGTCTCTACCGGAAGCCCAACAAACTCGTCCGTGTCTAAAGCTGTATCCAGCGCTGTCGTGTACAGATGTGCAACTTACGACTGGTTGCTGGTAAGTCATGAGGACCGCGTAGCTGGACAGATGGTTGCACGCACAAGTCGTGTGCGTGTTGTTTGTGTGCAGCAGGCGGCAGCCCTGCGTGGACCACCTGCCGCTCCCAGAAACCCCCGAAGCGTTCCAGAAAGAACAGTTGGGACCAAAGTGATTTTCCAGCTGTGGACGAAAACAAGAATATGGCCAAGTGTCCCGTGAGAGGCTCTGAAGGAAACTCAGGAACCAAACAGGAGGGATTTGCTCTATCTAAATGTTAATGTGGATGCAAACAAACATACCTGGAGATGTCTGAGAGTGAAGATCACGGGCGCCGTGAGGTACACCCGGTTGGTGCCTCTGTGCACCGAGGCAGAGATGACGTGGGAGTTGACCACCAGGCTCCTGCGCCGGGGCTCCTGGCCCTGGGAAAGTCCCAGTCCCAGACGTAAAGTTGAGTTCTGGGTGGTGAGGAAGGGGCCCAGGTTCTTGAAGAGGGAAAGGACCAACTTCACCTGACCTGCAAAAGCAAAGCCCGGGTGGGAAAATCACTTTGTGAAGTTTAAGAGAATTAGGACTGAAACGATTAATCCAATCAATCATGATTAAAACCTCTCCGACTTATGGCCTGTTTCTGGAAATATGGCTGAAAATAACATGCCCAAATGAATTGAATGTATCTCAAGAACTACAGAGTTTATTTTAATAGTTTTGGTATCAAAACAAAGGCAAGACCCTAGAGAATATGTAACAACTCTAAAAACCACCCTGCCGGTTACTGAGGAAAGTAAATTAATATGATACACAGCAGAAATTAAGAAATAAAATCTATTTCCGCCTAAAAAAAACAGTTCAATATATTAAGATTCCTTTCAAAGCAATGCAGATGAAATCCAAAACATGTAGTAAACAACAGTACACAATCTGACCTTTTACTATGCCAAGTTTCATGAAAAAAAAGTTAATCATATGAGTTATAGAGAGGTACTACTTGATAAAAATCTAGGCGGACCTTCCAAATTAGCCATTTTGGCACAATTTGTGCCATTTGAATTTTCTCAGTTTTTTTTTCTGTAGGTTCTGTTTCAATCATTTATTCTTATCATATAATAAATGATTATTTATCATAGATAAGTAATTACATATAATAATTGTTTTTGGGGGTTCCTTTGAAAAATCCACATTGCATTCATTCATAAAAAGAGAAAAAAATAGACAAATTGTAATAATCTGAAAATGGAACAGATTAACTCACAATAACATTTCAAATAGAATTATATAACAATGAAAATGGAAATAGCAATGAAAACTAATTTGTCAAAATGATATGATCACAGTAAAATACTAATATATCTCACAATTACATTACAATAACAATGCGCTCTGCACTCTGCGCGTAAAATCATGCAGTTCTCCATTCAGACGTTCAAAATTACGCTGGGCAGTTTCTCGGGAACCCATTGGCCAATTTTGATGATTGACATGTCTTTCGAACCGTCAGAGCCAATAGAATCCGAGGGCGTTGACATTAATACGGAACCTAAAGCCATTCACCAATTACAGCGAGGAAAACGCATGTGACGTACATTGACGGAGTTCGCCTCTAGATTTTGTATATGGTAGCTAGGAGACGGAAGAGGCTCTGGGCGGAGCCGAAAACAATGTGAGATGGACGCAGGGAAAATGGATTATCGGACCAAGTGGAAATATTTACTCTAATAAGGATTATGACCACGAAACAGCAAAGATAGGACTGAATTTATGCTTTTAGCTTCGTGAAATTAGCTATTTCTTGTTTTTCTTCTTTAGCTGCTGGTTCAGTGAGTTTTGCACGTAGCGTGGTGACTCTGGTATTGTTGGAAACGGCAGAGCTTCGGCTTTACTCTGATAGATAGTTTGTGGCCATTGGGAATCGTTGCTCTTTCATTGTTGCGTTTTTTACCGGATATGCCTCGTTAGTATCTAATTGCCTTTCTTTTTATCAAGCTGCTTAGTGTTCAAGCTGGGTGTTGTTGAGGTAGAAAATATTGTTTCTATCATTTAGAAGAGCTTTTTCCCGATACGTGGATATGCAATATGCCTATATTGATAAATGTATAGCATGTGTTTTCAATTGATCTTGTTGCAGCAAGCGCCGGGTCCTCTAGCAGGAGGCCTTAATCGATTACTGAAACAATTGCCAACTAATTTGATAATCAATTAATCGTTAACTGGAGTATGCAGACTCAAAAAGAACAACACTCTCAGAGCAGTAATCAAGCCAAAACTGTGCAAAAAATATATGCATTTTGCATTTAAGATGAAAAGAATATCTGGTCTACCCAAAACTTTTACAAAGTGGCATTTTAGCTTCACCTGGTTCAAATTCTGTATCAGAAAAATTGATTTTTAAGCATCGTTTGCTATCCTGTTATTAATCAGTTACTTCAAAAAAATAATCATCAAATCAGCCCAACGCTGTAAGTCAAACAGAAACGGCTGAGCCTTTCATCGTGTTGAAGTTAGGAATATACCTACAGATGCATCATTTGCATCAATAAATTATTTGTTTATTCTTTTAATGTACTTCTAATATTGTATAAAAAAAGGCCTAAATGAAAAATCAGTGCCGATTTTTTGTTCCCGATTAATCGTTAGAACAATTGATAGAATAATCGATTTCTAAAATAATCATTAGAAGGCGTATTTAAAGCAAATACGGATACAGAGACAAGTAATACTTCCACTAACCACCATGAACATTGGTTAATACTGGTTTCTCCCGGTGCCACTGACCGTTGTTGCTGTACTGCTGCAGAGCCTGCGCCGAGATCTGCAGGATGCTGTCGCTGTCATACGAGTGTGGAAATGTCAGGTCCTGTATGTCAGCCTCTGTATTTAGTACATATACTTCCAGATCTGTGAAATGACAAAACAAACAAACAAACAAAACAAAAAAACAAGAATACACATGTTTGTGGATGAGTTCAGGATTCTTCCAAGCTGCATCGGGTGAGAAAAATATGCAGGCAAATGGAGAGTCAACGTGCCGACATTAGGCGCTCTGTCACTGAAACGGCCCTCGTAGAGATTGTTCGCCAGCAGAAACGCTCCCTTCTCGACGGCGTCCAGAAGCAGCGATGCCGAGCGGGACTGGTCAAGGCTGCTCATGTCTGCCCAGGACACCAGGGCTTCAGGACCCAGCAGGTTGTCGGCTATCTGAACCACAGCCTGACAAACACACACACACACACAGAAAGTTTATCTGTCAGTCGGTCAGCTCATCCGTCTGCGCAGAAGAAGAAGAAGTATTCATATTCTTTCTGTCGTGTTATAAACAACAAACTTTAGTGGATTCACATTGATGTTTAGGTGACAGACCTAAACATCAACATGTAAATGGGAAACAGAAGAAAAATTGAAATGCATTTGTCTTTACTTCCAGCGAGCCAACAGTTAACAAAACCGTGTTTTGCTCAGCTGGCTGCAGTTATTCTCTCAGATTATGTTTTAACAAGCTTTTCCCGCTCTTGTCTCATACACGTCTCAGCATGTTACGACTTACTCTTCCCATTAACAGATGATTGAACACCGGCTTTGTGCTTAAAAGATCATTTCATGTCCTATCCAAGGTTTAACTTCTCCACAGCTCGATCTGTGACCCGCCTGCCGCGTTGCCTGGTCTGGCAGGATGCTGTTTATTCTCAAATAAACCTCCACAGAACAGCTGGATTTCAATTCAGTTAAAAAATACTCAGGGCTGCCCGTGACGGTCTTGGTTTCATGAAGGATCCGTCTTTGCACCAGCATCTCCAGTGGTTCCAACAGAAAAGAACCAGCTTAATGTACAAGGGTGTGGAGCCTTTTTAGGTCTCCAGCTCAAAAGTGATCCGCCAGCTCGGCTTCCTGACCCTGTCTGATACGTTTGATGACTCCAGAGTCATCTGAATGTTTCTGCAGATGACAGAAGTTGGATTGTGCTGGAGGTCTGTGAGTTAAAAGGGCTGGTGAGAGGTCAGGACCCTGCGGTGCTCCGCCTGGTCGGACACTCAGTCCGTCAGTCTCACGAACTACGTCAAACTGAAGTTACTAGCAAAGTGATGTTCGAAGCCGTCTGACAATATATTTAGGGTAATCAGACTAAAATTGACGTTTGTGACAGCGACTTGACAAATACCTATACCTCCATTCATCACTCATCGGTCTCACCTGAACATACGCTTTGCACGTTCGCTCTCTCTTCTGCAGCTGAAAGCAGAAAAAAAAAATTACAAGAACAATTAAACCCGCAATCGCTGACATTTCCCATCTCATTTCCACTAAAGGTCGCCCACGTTATAAATTTACCTTGTTGTAATTGCGTGCGGCTGACTCTTTGTTGGCTGGTCGCAGGGCCTGCAGCTGAGAGTCCAGGATGTCCAAGAGCTGCTCGATTAGCCGGACCGACATGCTGATGTCGCCGGCATAGATTCGGCCCCGGGTCAGGTTGACCAGCTCCCCGGCGATGTTGGCCGCGTTTTCGCCGCTCTTGATCTGGACGGAAGTCAGGAGATGTTTGTGATGTCAAATGTTTTGACATTTAAAAGACAGAGAGAAGGATAGAGAGAGAGAGGAAGAGAGAGAGCTGCGGGGCATTTGCTCGGCGCATGTTTGTGTGTCTTTGCTCTCATCAGGGTGTGTGTGTTTGTGTGTGTGTGTGTGCGTGTGTGTGTGTGTGTGTGTGAGCGAGGCACCGACCTTCTGAGCGATTTGGCTGACCCAGGGAGAGGTGCAGTTGGAAAGGTCAGGCCCTCGGGAGTTCCAGCCCACCGGAGACGACATGCACTGATAGGAGGCGATTCCTGCGGCGGCAGAAAGGGGGAGACAAAGTCAAGAAAAACAGAAAGCAAAAAAAAAACACACAAACACCAAACCCACATCTTCTCCTGTTTTCAAACTGGAACTCAATACATGTTAATAATAATAATAATAATAATAATAATAATAATAATAATACACAATGAATTAAATTGTTTCTGCATTCAATTTGAGATAATATGAGCCTGAACAACAAACAGAAACATTTTTAAATGTCTCCTGATCTGAGCCCACTGCCTGGATAAAAGTGTTTGATCTCTTGATTAACTACAAGAGCAGAAACCAGTGAGAAGCTGAAGGACAAGATCTGGACCGAATCCGGCTCCTGTGGCAAAGCAGCTGAACTTCCACCCCCTCTGGACTGGGATCAGACAGATTCCCAGTGTTAAAAGCAGAAGTTAGCGATTTGTATTTCCATCCTGGATGCTGTTTCGCTTTCCAAGCGGAACTATAATAATGGAAACGAGACTCATAAAAAGGATTTGAAGGAAAACGTAGCTTATACCTGTGATAATATAAATTACTGGGACGAGAGCAGGGCTGTAGCAACAATTATTTTAGATATCAGTTCATTTATTGATTGTTCTGACGATTAATCAAATGATATGATTCAAAATCGGGCACGTTTTGCAGATTTTTCATTTAAGTGTTTATATTTTATATTAGAAATATGTCGAAAATAAGCAACTGGATTCCTGCTTTAAATAGGAAAGTACAACAACACGTCCTTCCTGTGGCGTGAACGCGATCATTCATAAGAAATGTTGAAAAATCTTTCCAACATCACCGTGTAAAAAGTGGAAAGGCCACAGAAAACAAGGTGAAAACAGGATGTATCGACTTAACATCAATACATTGATCACTTTTAGATTAAACGGTTAATAATGGACAGCAAAAGGTGCTTAATGCTAATTGTACATATCTTTTGTACAGTTATAATCACTGTGTGTTGTTCTTTCAACATGTTGTCTTTTTTGAGTCTGCATTCTCTAGTTAATGACTAATTGATCACTAAAATAGTTGATAATTATCCCAGTAATCAATTCATCGTGATTAACTGGAATAATCATTTTAGTCCTAGACGTGAGTTTGAATTGTTGACGTTATATTTAGAGTTTTGTAGTTCTAATTAGATTTACACATTTAGACTTTGTTGCCTTGAGAATAAATTATGAAACAAAACAACAAAGTTCAGCGTAAAACTGTGAATCCAGCCAGATATATATTACATAAATACATTAAAACATCAGTTCATGGCCAGTCACACATTTCCTGCAAATTAGGTGAGACAGCAGATCCACCTGGTTGGAGTTAAAAGATAAAATAAGGTGATGCCGTTCCAGTATAATCGTCAACTCTGTGCTAAATCCATGCTGAAGCGATTTGACATGATTATCGAGGCAAAATGCACCGCAGGATTATCAACATAATCTGCATCCCGGCGTCTCCTCAGAGGGAGGGAGGGATGGAGAGGCAGCTGCTCAGCGACAGGAAGAATCGCCAAATACGGCGTCTCTGCACTCTGAAACTCCTCTCTCGTTTTTTTTTTTTCCCCGTCTCGTCCGAGTTCAAAGAGAGGACACCTGACTGCGTTTCAAAAGGAAATGGGATACACTCACACACACACTCACACTAAGACACACTCCACACCTACCCAGAGACCCCTTAGGACAGGGCCGCTCCACCGTCTCTCCCTTCAGAGTCGGAGGCCACTGAACTCCTCGTGCAACGCGGCCCTCGCACCCGCCCACCTGACCGGGCCCGCCGGGGGCCAGGGGGACCCGCAGCGGAGGCCGCGGGGTCAGCGGGACCATGGCCGTGATCGGACCCCTGTTGATGACGCCGATGGGGTGCGAGGCCGACGGGCGCACCGGCGTGAGAGCGACTGTCGCCGTGTAGGAGCGCACAGTGGTCATCAGAGAGGACAGGGGACCTGCAGGGACAGAGACGACACGCCTGTGTCCTGACCTGACACTCTGATGTGTTCATGTTCCCTGACAGTTTTCACATTTTGTTACGTCACGTCCGCAAAACTCAGTTTACGTCGTTGATATTTTCCACATAGAAGACAGACGACACAAGGGATGAAAAAAGTTTTTCAGAGATGGAAATATTTGAGAAAACAGCTAAAAAATAAATAAAAAAAAAAGGTCTGCTACGCGTTGGTGTTTGTATTTATATCCAACTTTTACTGAGTCATTATGAGGTGGCTTGTCATGGTCAAGAAATTCCCAGAAATGGTTGAGGTAATCAATCAATGAGGTAATCAGTGTTGCTGCTGTTTGGCATTTTGATAATGCCAACATTTGCTCTCTGAAAGAACCATAGAGGGAGCAAACATTCAAACTGTTTAAATAAAAAAAATAAAATAATAAAATAAACAAAACAACCAAAAACAATAAATTTAACTGAACAAAAAAAAACATACACAACTCAAACCATAAATGAAACAGAAAATGAAGTCTGTGAATAAAATTGCCCTTTAAAAAAATGTTAATCATCAGAATGGAAATGATTGCGCTAATTTAAATTTATCTTCCAGCTACTGATTTATTGCTTATTTATGGGGGAAAACGACAAGATATTTTTTCCCCCCACATTTTTATTTATGCAATAATTCAGCTTCAGTTAGAAACGGATTAAATGCCATTAATCAGTGGGATTTAAATCTGGGCTTTGACTGAGCCACACCAATACGCTTCTTGATCTAAACCACCGTCTGACCAGAGCGCCGCCTCCCTCACGGTCAGCACGTCTCCTGTAGGGACTCTGGCAAAGCGCAGCCCGTTGAGCTTCATTTTGTTTAGGGGTATCAGAGTAATGGAGGATGGATATGACTAAGAAAATGAAGTCATATTTTTACTGAAGTGAAAATAAAAGAGCAATATATTCTCTCCTCTCCATGAGTTCCTCCTGTTGGCCCAGATCCAAATAAAACACACTGAAGTTCGAGGCGATGCCTCTGAAAATGTGAAAAGGTTTTAAAAAATGTTTCCCCAAGCATATTTGCATGTGTCCTATAACATAATTTGTTGCTTCCTCACCTTTAGTTGGCGGTGGCGGTGTGAAACTCAGAGGGTAGCGCAGCATGTAGTAGTTGTTCCACACGTACAGCTGGTTGTCTCTGGGGTTGTAGTCGATGGAGGAGATGTACTGGTACGGGTTGGGGAACGGTATCTGGACGGGCAGCTCCTGACCCCGGCTGGTGTCGTAGGCGTACACCACCATGTTGCTGTTGGCGCGGCTGTCCGCCTGGCCCTCGTCGTCCTGGAAGACGGAGCGCACCGCGTAGAGGACGCCGCAGGCCATGAAGGCGTTGCTGGCGCCGCGCTTGTCGAAGCCCGTGGCCCAGGTGCCCTCGAAGCGCAGCGTGTACGGGTTCACCTGGAATAAAACCCAGTGGCACTTCAGCTGCTTTTCTTCTCGCTCCGCTTCTGCTATCGATCCGTGTTCGGTCCTCCTACCTGGCTGACCACGATGCGTCCATTATTGGCTTCTGTGGAGTAGATGACCCAGAGCCCGTTCTCGTCCACCGCCAGATCGATGTCCGACTTTCCTCCCCAGCGGTAAGGAGAGGTGTCGTGGTAATTGGCGTTGACAACCACCGCCTCGCCGCTCTTGATGCGAGTGCGCAGGTCGTATTTGACCAGATTGCGAGTCCGCTCCTTGTTGTAAAACACAGCTCCGTCGTACACCACAAAACCCGTGCCGTCCACACGACTCGGCAACCTGGGACAGAGGAAGAGGACAGATAATATCCATTTGATTTGGCATGTGGGCAAACTGTAAACTAGGTAATATAGCTGACTTTTATAACCATTTCCAGGCCGAAATGATACATCTACGACATCGATTTTCCTTTATTAACAGGTTTTTCATACTGAGATGCTTGTAACTATGCCACATAAGAGAAATTTAAAAGTTTACCAGTGGTGGCACGCTTTTTAATTTGAAAAATATATGTTATTTATTCATTTTTAGTCAAACTGTCTTGTTTTTATGACGGAGGCTAAGAAAAATAGGGCAGAATATAAGAATAAAGTCATAGTGTTACGAGAATAAAGTCGCACAACAGTAAGTAGAAATAATAGGAGAATATAGTATAATAATACAAGAAAAAAAGACTTAATAATGCAAAAATTAAGTCACAATGTTACCAAGATAAAGTCAGAATAGTCCGAGATGAAGTTGCACGACAAAAAGCCATAATAAAAATAAAATCATAACATTGTGACAATAATGTTATAAAATTAGGAGAGATGCAAAATTACAAAGAAACAAGTAAAATCATGAGAAAAAAGATCTGAAGACCGACTCGCCTAGTCGAAATGGACTCATTTTATGAGAATAAAGTTCTAATAAAAGTCATATCACACACACACACACACACACACACACCTGTGTTGTACAATGGTGAGGCAATGACATTTTTCCACTCTGGTGGACAAAATAAATGTTCAGCTTCTATTCTATTCTATTCTATTCTATTCTATTCTATTCTATTCTA